ATTTATTAATAAAAGATTTTTGAGGTATAGAATAATTCAGAATATTATCATTTATTTACCTTATATATAAAAATAAATCGGTGTCGGTTAGTCTCGCTCGAAAACGGCTCGATAGGTTTTGATGATTTTTTATGTGTATTTGAGTCGGTCCCTGGATGGTTTAATAACTCATTTAGATCCGGCAGGTGGCGCTGTTGTAGAGACCCTTAATTCAGCAAAGCCGGGGCGGATCGCTAGTATTTTCTATTTTTAGGTTATTATTACATTTTATTGCTTTACCATTAATATTTATTTAATTTTGCCTAGCCATAAATATTAAAAAATGTTGCATTTGCGGCCTTGCATTGACGGCGTAACAGAATTACCAATCGTCCCAGTCATGGATGTACTTAAAAAAGACTTCTATGGTCAGAAACATCTCGTGGTTTAACCAACGCGAGTAGGAAAATTACTGAAGGGAAAGCACTCGCATGTGAGAGGAATTAATGATATTTTGAGAATATGTTAAGTCTGCAAACTGGCGCTTTAATATTGTCTTGAACTATCTGTTCCATGATTTAGCGGTATTCTTTGCTTTCGTATCGTATGCCTATTCGAAAGAAGGATTTTGCTTATTCATATTTGTTAAAATTCGTATCAGTTTTTCGGACCTCACAAAAAAATCTACAGTTTAGTATAAGGTGGGATCGTAACACTAGCTTATGGCGATGTTTATCAAATATACAATTTGTGCATTTCAACCACACGCATACGCGATATCAATAGAAATAGCCCCAGAATAATAACTGTTAAGTATTGCAGCTACAATAATATCCTGCAGACCGAGTTTCGGTCACGGCGGCCTGCCTCAACGGAAACTAGCTATCGGCGCAGGACAGGATTATAGTGCCCAAGTGTATGCGCAAGCACAGGTGCACTTTTTTTATAGAATTAGGGTGACAAACGAGCACACAGTCCACCTGATGGTAAGTGGATGCAGTGGCCCATAGACATCTACACGACAGGAGAGAGAACAGGCGCAGGACCAACGACTTAACGTGCTTTCCGAGGCACGAGGGTGTGACACCGCCAATTTCCTGACTCCCGGTAGCAACTGAGAATTTCTTGACGAAAACTCAATAATAGATTTTTGGCTCGACCCGGGATTCGAACCCAGGATCTCATGATCAGTAGTTATACACAGGCTGTCGAATGTAAATATTAGGCTGTCGAGTGGAAATATTTCTAAGACTATAAAATAATTCGTTTATTAAAGTTTTAATCAAAATGTAGGATTTTGTATTAAGAACATGATCCATATACAGAACTTTTGGTAAAATTATTAATCCAAATCTTTATACCCCAAAAATTAATAAGCAAGCACCGTCTGTGAAAGTTATTACCCTAATGCTGAAAGAGGATCTATTCTAAATCGTAAAAAACTTAATGAAATATATTAAAAATATAAAATCGCTTATAATCACAGTTGAATGGCCACACTCCGGTAATGTAATTTCTGTTCAAGTAACACACGTAGCAGTACAATGTTTACTTCTATTTGTCTTTCAACTCAACTGGAACATTTTAACTATTTACTATTCATTTCGTTAATGTCCCGTTGTTTCATTTTCGCGATTAAATAGGTATACTAAATGCAGACCGTTCGGTAAATCCTTAAGAAGATTATATTATGAAAATGATATTGAATTATATTTTTAATAGTTAATATCGTTATATGTTTATATATGCATTTATTCATAATATAATATGCACATTTATTCTAGTTCCTTATCTTTTTAAAGTATTTTTTAAATTGCTGAAATAGTTAAAGTTATAGCAGTCTATATCGGAGTCGCATAGCCACTTTAGCTAACTAATTCGTATTATTAAAAATTTCTGCAATTAACAATTACATTATCTTATTAACAAATGAGCCACAACGCCATCGATATGAATATGCGACTTGTGATTATATCACCACTAACCCCAACACCACTACTCTCAGCACCAATACATCAGGAAAGACAGACCACCGTCGATAAATCGACATAGACGCCCACCGACAAAGAAATATGTTTAAAATATTAACAAGTTTTTGACATACAGTTATAAATTTATTCATAAGCTGATCAAAAACAATAAAAGCACAGAGCTCAAAGCGTGCAAGTGAATCATATTTTGGAGATGAAATCTCCGAATTTCTGCATATAGAACTAAATGTATTTCCATCGATATTTTAGACGTGCCTTTTCACTAGCATCGGCGAAGTCTTACTTCGCAACGACACTATCGGTAGTTAAGGTCATAAGTTTTTATTCAATTTGGAATTAATTAAAGCTCGTATAAACATTAACATCTACACCGGTTACCAAAAAACTTTCTCAAAGAAGAAACGGTAAGAAATTTTGGCACCTTTTTATTAAAGCCGTGTTACAATTTCAACTTGTAATACTGCCTTCCGGCTGACCAGCACTCTTCAATGGAGACTAGCTTACTGACTGACAGAGACTAGGAAGGGGTTATAGTTCCCGAATGTGGCCCAAGCACAGTTGCACTCGTTCTTCCCCCACTTTCATAGTAAGATAGGATGGTATTTCGACACGACTGGACATAGATCCGGCGCAGGTCCAACGGCTTAACGTGCTTTCCGACGCACGTGGGTAAATAAATCGTTAACTTCCTGCCTCCGGGCAGCTTCTGAGAATTTTTTGGAAAAAAACCCAGTTATTGATTAAAGCCTGACCCGGTATTTGAACCCGGTCCCATGATCAGTGTCATTCCGGACATACTCACATAAACAATACAGTTTAAAGAGTTTTGTTTAAGACAAGAGACCAAGAGACGTAAGTTTTTTTTAAAAATAAAATTGAAGTTAAATGATAGAATCAGGCATTACTTAGCGGAAACGCATTATAATAAAGATATTAATAGTTACTTTGCAACCATCCGCTGAATAAAATCAAATGATGTGTCTTATTATAGTTTGAAGAGCACCTCCCGCCCTCCCTCAATTGCGTGCAGTAATCCCGTCACCACTAATCCCAGCATCACTACTCCCAACACCACTATTCCAGGAAAGACACACCATTGACGATAATACGACACGTGTTTCGCCTCTACACGATGCATCTTTAGGTGATGTAGACTCTACGGCGGCTGACCGCTAAGTATATAATAAAATTGAAGTGACAAACCTGCAGCCAGTACAGCCTAGCGGATCAGACAGGTTTGTTTAGAGATTGTGCTTTATATAAAAAAAATTGATACCCTAGTGAGCTTGTACGGAGTCACAGTACGAGTGTGTGTCTCTGGTGGGAATCGTGTGAAAACTTGGACATGTTTTTTCATTACGATAATATTTTGGGTATGTTTCAAAATAGAACCCAGTGTACTGTCCAATGCAAATGACGTCATAAATCGACGCCATACTGGTGATTCGTTTCAAAACATTTGACAGTATATGACATCATACATTTACGTCATATTGGAAAAGTGTTGGCGATTATTTTGTCATTTTGTGCTCTAAAAGTCATTATATCCTCCTAATGGAGATACTAGCAATTATTATATATTTTTTGGTATTTGAATGAACACACAATTAAAAATTGTTTTAATATGGCCGGAAATCCGACACAATATGGCGGCGGCACGCCAGTACAATATGGCGTTAATTAATGACGTCATTTGTATTCGGCAGTACACTGGGAACGTTTTGGAACATACCCTTTGTAACCTAAAATAAGATGACGTAAAATGTCATCGGCTTATAACCGATACTAAAAAAAATACCACGCATTTCTTATACTTGGCTTACACGGCTTTAATACAGGCTCATGACATTTAAACTATACAGAGAAACCAAACTTCAAACATCAAGAAGCTAACCATGATTCCTACCAATTTAAGACAATCGCTGAGGGCTAAGATAAAAGGGTTCCGGTTCTCTACACTCACCATACGAAACACAGCAGCATTGAGCTGCTAATTACACTAGTGTTCTGTAAGAGCGTGCTCCTTCTCCGGTCGACCCATTCTTACTATGTACAACCATAAAATGGCTGCGGCATGGCTTTACCACGTAAGATATATACAACGTAGGTGGGAACTTATAGTAATTTTATTGTCATAACTATAAAAACGCGATTGAATTCCGATTTAGTTGCGATGATATTAACAGAATATATATATTTTCATTCATTAAGGGCCCCTTTTCCCGAAAGTTTAGGCATTTTACGCACTGAGACGGCTCGCGCCCGCGTTGCACAGGAGCCGGCGCGACATGAACTTCGGTGACCTATGGAGGCGGGCGAGCACGCCACAGTATAAATAAATCAGTAGTTCGATTTTGTTAGCTATCCTAGGAATTTAGGAATATATATATATATATATATATATATTTAAATGAGTTCTCGAAAACGGCTCTAACGATTTCATGAAAGTTTCAATTTAGGGGTTTACGGGGACGAAAAATCGATCTAGCTAGGTCTCATGTCTGGGAAAATTCGTTTTCGCCCTATTTTCACGCATAAAGATTTACCCGCGCATTATGTTTCGTAATTTCGCCGCTATTGTTACGTAGCCGAGCGGTTATAGTGTCGGCCTATGAAGTCTACGCTGAAGAAAGGTTCGGGTTCGAATCCCCATTCAGACTTTTTGTTTTCGTTTGATCAATTTTTATTTAGTTTTTTTATTTGTACATTATTTTTGTTGTTTTTTGTACTTATAATTTTTTTTGTATTTTATTTTTGTATAGAAACGAAATTCACAGAATACATCTACCTACTAAGTTTCAAATATGTAGTCCGAATAGTTTCGGAATAAAAGGCTGTGACACGCGACGGACGGACGGACAGACATACATGACGAATCTATAAGGGTTCCGGTTTTTTAAATCGAAATCCTAAAAAAAGCTTGAAGAGGCTTCTTTATAATCATTTACAAAAAAATTAAAATAAAATTTGGGTGAAATTTTAATAATAGGGGAAAATAAATATTGAAAAAAGCCAACTAAAAATTAAAATTCAATAAAATCTAGTTCTCCGTGTACTAGGTCCAGGTTCATTTTCATCGACCGATATATTCTTTAATGCTGAGCGTGAGTCTCCTCTTAGAGGGTCAAAGCCACAGTCCTCATGACGCTCCCCTCCGTGTTGGGGACTAGCATCTGATAACAAATCAGGACTGTTTTGTGTTAGAGGTTCCTCATTTTCCTTATTTTCGGATGATTTGTTTTCTTCAAGTGTCAGATTTCTTATGCCCATACCACGCGTATGTCTGGGATTCACGATTTCAGGAAGTAGGCATTTATGGTAAAACTGTATTAATTTGGACTCCATCTTCGATTTCCAAAATACGTCATCTTTTTCAATTATTTCGATGTGGACTGGCTCTTTTTCTCCGGCCCAAATACCTAGTAGACATTGCTGTCGTCTTGCCACATGCAATTGTCCCTGGATTTGGTAGAACCAATTACTATTTTTATTAAGTGTTGCAGTGCGCGTTTTTTTTATTAAATTTTAATATTTGTATTTTATTTTCTTCAATTGCTTTTTTCATGCCAATTTTTGATGCTGAAAAAGGACATTTGACTTCTACTAGAATGTCATTTCCAATGAGCCCATCTGGCGTAGCACCAATGAATGGAAAATCATTATCTATAAACAGTCCACAGGGCTCAATAGACACGTTTTCTTGTTGTTGTATCTTGTGCAATGCTTGCTGCTCATTTTCAATACCATAAGCAATTGATGCAACATGGCCTAAATTTTTTTTTATATAATATATTTTTTACCAGCGGTGCGGTGTCTTTTGATACTTGCCTTTTGCAAATAGGGCTGAAATTAGAGGCAGTAATAAGATTTTTTCGAATTTCTAACCATTCACTACTGTCTCTTTGTAATATTGTATTACGCTCAATTGCGTCCTTGTCAGCAGTAAGAGTTTCTAAATTTTTTAGAAATTGTTCTTTAGCTACTTCTAGTTCAGACTGGGACATATCCGGATCTAAACTGGCGGGGCCATAGTCATTTTGTTTTTGTTTCGCGTCTGTCAATTTCCTGATTTTCTTTCTAACTGGACGTTCTGAGTTGTTTTTTCTTTTCTGAGCATCTTCCCTTTTCTTTTCCACAACTACAGTTAATCCCATGTCGGGTCGATTTTTATTTGTTAATGTGTTTTGCACATGCGATATGGCTGACTTTTCATTAAATTTTACGACTGCAGCATTACACCTCCCTTGGTACCCTCGTTTCAAGGCAAAATTTATTCGCTTTCCTCCTATAAACTTCGCAATGACATTGTTGAAATATTCGACAAGATTGGTATTCACGTTTTCTATTAAACTTCGTGATTTTGCTGTCACATTAGAAATAATCAAATTCATCCGGAACAGAAATGTTGAATTTTGAATGGTTTTCAGTCCGTCGCTATAAACTTTTTCCTTGTCACAGTTATTATCTATATGTAGTATTATAATCTTGGCACATTCTGTGATCGCCGTATGCATGCGCCACAGAATTGATTATATCACTGTGAAGAATAGATATAGCATTGTCCTTTCGATTTTTGTTATGGTGTATAACTGACCTTACTATTGCTTTCCTCATGGACATAATTTTCACAACTGTCAAAGTTTTTCGGTGAGTCAAAAAGGTATTTTGTTTCTGAAACCAGACTACGTAATTTTTTGCATAGATTTCTCAAAATATGATTTCTACACTCAATTTTTTCCACCGTAATATTTTGGTCTTTATATGGATTTTCTTTCAGCACTTTTGCGTATGTCGAGGCGTCTCCGTCTGCAATCATTATTTTATAAATTATATTTACATGGAAATGGATAGTTTGAACCCCTCGGCAATTATTTGACCCTCCATAGAACACGATGAACCATCGAAGTTTTTGAAACAATTGTGCTCCATAGGAGCGACATTTTTGTTTTCTGCACAGGCGCACACGAGGCAGTATTTATTTTTTACAGCCAGAAAAATTATTTTACCGGTTCTTCTACCGATAATTGCCGCAGTTCCAGAAGCAGCTTTATAATTTGATCCGTACGATCTAGCACACCAAGAAGCATCGACGTAAACGTCAATTACCGGTTTGCTATTTTTGGTGCGACCTTCTGCGATAGCCAATTTTTTTTCTTCTTCTGCAGCATCTTGCATCGATTCGGCTGCTGTTTTTTCACAACATTCGTACACTTGATCCTGGAGTTGATTGTAATATTTTGTAGAAAATACAGGAATATTCATTGTATTTACTATGGCCCCGCCAGTTTAGATCCGGATATGTCCCAGTCTGAACTAGAAGTAGCTAAAGAACAATTTCTAAAGAATTTAGAAACTCTTACTGCTGACAAGGACGATTTGCGATTGAACGTAATACGAAAATTCGAAAAAATCTTATTACTGCCTTCAATTTCGGCCCTATTTGCAAAGGGCAAGTATCAAAAGACATTGCATCGCAATAAAATTAGTAATTGGTTGTACCAATCCAGGGACAATTGCATGTGGCCAGACGACGGCAATGTCTACTTAGTATTGGGCCGGAGAAAAAGAGCCAGTCCACATCGAAATAATTGAAAAGTTGACGTATTTTGGAAATCGAAGATGGAGTTCAAATTAATACAGTTTTACGCGTGGTGGTCATGGTAATGGTAAAACGGGCTGGTTTCCACAACTCTACGTCAAAAGCGCCTATTTTGTATGATCGGTGGGGGTCACTACTCGAGCCAACCTATCTCTTCAAGAAACCCTAGCATCCCATTTAGATTGCCAAGGGCCTTGGAGATCGACCCTGGTGATCCGAGGAATTTGGCCCGTGGTATGGGCATAAGAAATCTGACAATTGAAGAATACAAATAATAATAATAGGTAAAACTGTTCCTCCCTAGTATACTGTGTAATATGTATATAATGTACTTACGCATACTGCCTCTCCTTAGAGTGCCCATCGGTACTTTTTTTGGACATCAAAGTACCTTTATCGGTACGAGATCTCAGAGCACTGGAATGGAATATATAAATTTACAAAATTTCAAAAACCAAAAAAAAAAAAAAAATGAATTACTAGAGTTATGCAAAAATATAGGTGAATGTTACTATAGGATTTAAAATTCTTGTCATACTGACTTCGCTAGTCTGTGTAGCTTTGCTAGATTACAGTAAATTATATTGTGACGAATCCACCCACTAAATAGTGGAACATTAGAAAACGAAAATAAAAATTGTCATACTGATTTAGCTAGTCTATGTCCCTGTTAAAGTAGATATCTAATTATACCAATATGTATTTTTTTTATTGTAAATGAGCTGTTGATGTTACGCTGGGGCTAGGTTATAGAAACTTATTAAGTACTTACGCAATACACTTTCGGATCTTCTTCACTTTAGGTAGGCTTTTTTCCTAATTTTGTATTTTTTATTCGCCATTTTAATTAAATCACAACTTACAAAAAATATTTATTTACAAACACTGCTTAAAAAACATAGGTCAGTATACTTAGATACGAGTATTGTCTTTTTAAACTAATTTCTATTATATTACATATAATATATTAATACAACAAGTTTTTATGCTAGTACGTAGGTACTACTACGCGAGCGGCGACGACAACGTAGTCGCGGACAAAAATAGCACAAATCCTCCCTCGATAACGTCCGGCTGGACACTGGCGTGGTGCGCGCGAGTCGCTTTTTACGTATTTTATTTTATATAGAAAAAAATAAGTGCCAAATTATAAATCTATCCAATAATATCCCTGTCAAACCGGATTAGTAAATGAAATGTAAAATTTTCATAAATATAGCGTTCTCCTAATTCTCATAAAACTGAAAATGCTTTCAAAATCGATGTTACTTCTGATTTTTTTATCGAGTTAAATGTTTAATATTGTGTTTTTATACAAAAAAAGTCACTAGAACAAACGTTTATCTGTACTATATATTTTTTTAAGATTTTAAATATGATGATTTCTTTGAAAACAACACGATTTAGGAACATAAATTTGGGAAAAGGGGCCCTTAAAATCTTACTCTTTGGTTGGCGTAAAGAAGAGTGATTACACTCCTCTACCATTCTAACCGAAACTCTAAAGAGAGATACTTACGCAGACAGACTTCTAGTACGAAAAGAAGTTCTATCGCTTAGTAATAAAGAATTATGCGTCCAATGAATAATATTGTTACGAATATTGTTTATCGTTCTCGTTCCTGACACTAGATGGCGCTAGTTGACTTATTCACGCAACAATATCAAGGTAATGTATGAAATACTGAACCTTCATATTATTTGTAACTATATTACAAGTCTTGGATGCTCAATCGATGTTCAAGCTATATAAGTTAGGTTCTAGTTAACCGAAAGTGTTTGTATAACTAGTCCTGTTCCATAGCGAAACTTGCAAGCAAGGTAATTTGAACAAACGACCCCAGTAAACTCTACTGTATAAGTTTTGAAGGTAACTCTCGACAAACAATTTACGCAACTTCTACTAAGATAAGATTTTGATCGATCTTCTATTAAGTTATCCCCAACTTCAGATCTATTTTGAGCGCTTTTGGAATGTTTATCGAAAGTCTTGTAACTTAAATTACAAATACCTATACGATGTCTCTTATGTATATGTTATAATAAATGTCGGTGTGAGTATTGGTAACAAAGGGATGAGGGATTTGATTTATCTTTCAAAGAACGTAAGCAATTTAAGTTCAAAAAATTTGAAAAAGAGTTTTTTGATTGTTTCATTTTCTTTTACATCGGTTTAGTCTTATCCGAGATATCGTCGAACATACTTAAGAAAACATACGCGTCGAATTCCTTCGTAAACCTTATTGTTTTTGGATTTGGAATGACTGCATACGTATGGCCCAACTCCATAATGATAGGACCAAGCTCGCAAAAAATAACAATGTGAAATAGTCGCATAATTCTGCAGCGTTTTTTATTCGCACAGGAATACTTCATCATTTAGAAATGACGTCGTAGAAATGACAGTCGTTCAAGACTACTTTGGTATAAGAGATAATATGGTTCGGTGGCGCAGCGGCTAAGCGTTTGACTGCGGTGCTAGTGGGTTTCCGGGTTAAAATCCATTTTTCCATCTAGTTTTTAACAGAATGTGCACAAAATTCACTTATCACAACATCTATCCTCGATGAAGAATAAAAATGCGGATGTCTTGTCACTGCCTGAGAACTAAGATGGAATACCATGTTTCTAGTAAAAAGGGCCTCTGGATATCTGCACTCATCATACAAAACACGGCAACATTTAGCTGCTATTTTACGCTTGTATTCTGTTAGAGTGTGGTCCGTCCGAACTATTCGTGCTACTATGTGTCAAAAAAGATCTTTAGGAACGTTCAAAGGAAAGAAAGTAAAGAGATTGACAACGTTATAAAAGCTATAAAGGTGTCTGGCTAATTCCCAAAGTTCATTTCAAGTTATTTTTCAAGCGTATTTTACTGCTTCCGTAATGCAAAGCGACATTATTATTTCATTTAGTGTTAGATTTATTTTGTAAAAGCGTTAAAGGAGCTTTTTACTTATTTATTTTATTATTTTTATTTTATTCTTTATTGCATCCTTAAACAAAAGAATACAAAGGGCGGACTTTTGTATTCTTACTTATCGTTGTCAGACCTAAAATACCCACACCAGCGAGAGGGAGCAGCGTCAAAGGTTCGAGACGCTTGGTACTGCGATCGCCCGCGTGGCGATCAAGGCGGAGCTTTCCAATTAAATATCCATATATTTCAGCAGTGGACCTTTGTTGGTTGATAAACAAGAAGAAAGCGTCACTTTGCGGAAATCCACTATATTAATGGTGTGCAAATTCTAATCTGTAGAGACTATTGGTCCGCGAGGACCACGTGCGGTGAAGTTTCTAAAGTAACTGACAGGACTCGCTCAAAGGCTAAGTATAGCCATTTAGCGAGGAAATGCAGCCAGCGTTCTTGGCACTATACCACGAGGAGTGAAACTGTATGACAATTTAAATTTTTAGTTTTAGTTAGACAAAATCCTTAAATCTGTCAGCGACACGCTGAAGCTATATTATCTTTGTAGCATGAATAATTCGGATGGATCACACTCTGACAGAATACAAGCGTAAAATAGCAGCTAAATGTTGCTCTGTTTTGTATAGTGAGTGTAGAGAAGAGGCCCTTTATACTTGAAACAAGGTATTACACCTCAGTTCAGCCAGTGACAAAAGGTCTGCATTTTGATTCTTAATCGAATGTGGTGGGTGGAATGTGTGCTTTTCTATAAAAAACAGGATTTGAACCATTGATTTCTAAGAAATTTTTGACAGAAAAACCCAGTAACTGATTTCGGCTCGACCCAGGATCTGAACCCGGGATCTCATGATCAGTAATCGCGTTTGCAGCCACTAGACCAACGAGGCAGGCAACTTGTAATATAGTAATAATGTTCATGACTCCTTTTCTGTCTAGGAGTCCTTTTGGGTGGGCACCATCCTCTCACCTGTTTCTGCCGGCAAATAGCATTGTTTGCTTTGCTGTGTTCCTACCTGAAGGGTATAAGGAGCCAGTACAATTACAAGCTGTGAAGCGTCCGTTCTTAGTCTTTTGAGGCGACAACGTTTGAAGTTGTTTGCAGGTCTCCATGGACTGCCCCCCCGAACGAGTTCCCGTCCTATCGTGGCGGGGGGAGGAGGGATTAGTAGCCGTGGCTTGGTCACCCGCGGTGAACTAAGATGAACCTGATGACTGGCCCGAGGTATAGAATCGGCCCGAGGAGGCCACTCCAAGTGGGCTTGGCGAGCCCACTTCGGATGTGTGTCGGTGGGCTGTGGCGAGAGGGGTGCCCTCTCTCACTACCGCTGCAGTCGAGGTGAAGTCGCAGAGGAAGAGGAGTGCTGGTATGGCGATGCGCCACTCGCCCTATCCTCTGCGACTCTTACGGGGCCGCACCGTTAATTGATGCGGTGGTGGTGGGGCTGTGGGGGAGAGGAGTATTGGTATTGCGAGGCGTCGCTTTCCCTACCCTCCGCAGCCGAATCAGGATGGCGGCGGAGCTATAGACCAGATTCGCCGCTGGGGACAACAGGGCTAGTGCTTCTGAGTGCTCGTTTTTCCTTGCTCCATAGCCTTCGCGCATCGGACACGGGGGCGACGATGGAGGCCGTGGAGGAGGGCGCGTCATGTGTTCTGGTGCGCCTTACCTGAGAAGAAGAAGGGGGGAGGAGTAGTCCTCCCGTGGTCCTGCGAATATGCGACGAAGATGCA